TGAGAAGGCAAAGCGCTGATTGGGTGCATTGAGACACATGTCTGGTAACCGTTTTTAAGTATCTTTCTCAAATCCCCCAAAATCAGCAGCGGATGGAAGAGAATGATCAGAAGATGAAAGCAAGAATGGATGTGCAGGACAGCAAGATTGACTCTGTTGTCAGCATGGTGCAGAAGCAAAATGAAACTTCTGAAAAGATTCAAGCAATGCTGGAGAGCCTGTTCACACGCATGCCTCCTCAACCTTAAATCTTTTTTCATGCATAACATTTTTCATGCTTTCTTCATTTTCTGATGTACTGGTTTGATTAAGTTTTTGTAATATTTTCTTGCTCTGATTCTGAACTATCTTAATATAATTTGTTTTTCTGATCTTAATTGTTTTAGCACATCACCAACACTTTTTGATTGCTGACAAAAAGGGGGAGAACAAGAATGATATTTAAATCAATAACGGGCTAACTAGACAGAAACTCTCAAACATTCTAACTCTATTACTTGAAATGTTTTTCTGTTTTGTTTAAAGTCTACAGGCACAAGGAAGCCCCTGGACACTCTGAAGACTAGAAGCTCTGATCAAAATGTAGAAGCTCTGATCAATGTTGCTCTGATCAATATGAAGTTTTGATCGTCCTAATACTCTGATCCAAAGCAAAGCTCTGACAAGAAAAGCTCTGAAGCTCTGCTCTCTGATAAGTCAAAGACTCTGATAATCTGATGTTCAAAGAAAGAAAAAGATCTGATCCTGAAGAACACGTATATCAAAGGGAAGTAATAAACTCAGGGGGAGTATCTCTTAACTCTGACTTCTCCGTACTTCTTACTCTGATACATTTTTCCAGATACCTTTTCACGTTATTTTTCATTTAAAATATCTAGTTTTTGTCATCATCAAAAAGGGGGAGATTGTTAGAACAATGTTTGAATCTACTACCCTATATTTAAGTTTTGATGATAACAAAGTGAAAAGATATAGTATTTATATGTTTTATGTTTGAACTATCTGCTGCCTCAAATTACTATGTTCTGACTTGCAGATACTCTGATTGAAATAAGCAAGGTCACGTTTATTCAGCATCAGAATTTGATTTCATACACCAGCATCAGAAGTTGCTACATTAGAACGTCAAGATCAGATGATCAACTCACGCACATGCTGAAGCTTGATGAACAAGACTGCGCTCAAACACTCTGATACAGAAACACAATAGTTCATCAGCAGCGAAGCAGAATCAGAATGAGCCAAGCCAGAACGTGCATTGAAGAAGCAACGGTACTGTGCATTGAAAGCTAATTAATTCCAACGGCTTCATTCTAGACAGGATCTGCTCAAAAAGGAAAGCTTGTTATTAGCATTGAATCAAGAATATTGCATTCAACGTTCATCTTCTCAAGTGCTATATAAACAAGGCTTCGAAGATTATAATGGCTAATGCTCTCAAAATCTCTACACGCACAAAGCTGAACCATAATCTTCATTCTACCAGTTTTGCTAAACCACAAACTCTGATACTCCATTACAGTTTAGCAATCTAGTTTCTAAGCTTCATTTGTGTATACATCACAGTTGTGATAAAGTTTTGTAGAAAACATTCACACACATTGTTTTATACCTTTGTAAGAAAGTGTTGCCTTGACAAACCGGGTTGTGGTTTGAATCAAGAAGGCTTTAGCAGTTGTTAAAGCAGTCTGTAATATTCAGTTGAATATAGTGAATTAAGACCTCGTTGGAGAGAGGCGAAATCACCTTGACGGGTGGTCTGGAGTAGTTTGAGATCAAACGAACCAGGATAAAAATATCTTGTCAATTTCTTTAAGATTTCAGTTTTACAATTCAACCCCCCCTTCTTGTGTTTTTCACCCCTTCACATTAGTAACCTCTCTGAGCTTTTTGTTGATATTCATGTTGTTTTTTATAAATACTTGTCTATCAGTGTTTACTTCACCTTTTTGCATTGATGTTGATTCGTTGTTTTCTTGAACCCTCAACCATTGTTTTGATTTGAATTTTTACATTGCCTTAGAAAGTAGAGAGTATTCACTAAGATGTTGGTTGAATTCAAGTTGGGGAGAAAAATAATTGTGTATTTATTGGTTGATTTCTATGAGGTTGAAAACCAAAAGAAAAGAAAGAAAAAAATGTGAAAAGAAGTGATAGAAAAAGAAAGGAAAAAATTTAAAAGCTTTGAAAAATAAAAACAAAAATAGTATGTAATAATGTTGTGTTAATAAGTATTGTGATTTGTGTGAAAATTTGGGGATGAAAGAAGATGTTTGATTGAAATTTTATTGTTTGAAACTTTGTGGAAGTAATTACTCCCTTAGGTTTAGGAATGTTTTGTTTCGATTAACTTTAGGAACTATCACTTATTTGTTTATCCGACCACATTACAACCTTGAAAAGCCCTTGAGATTCTTGCTTTTATATTTTCAAAGTAAATTTTTGGATGAATGCGTAATTTATTCTATTGTTTATAAGATTGTTGGATGAGTGAAAATACCTCATTTTTGTGTGTTTTTCATCTACCGATTATTGTATTTGCTAGGTGTGATTCGTTTGTGAACTAGTATTATTTTAGAATATTTTGTATGGTTTTTTTATTTTGCATTTGTTTCGTGTTTATGTTATATTCGTAGTTTAGTGGTAAGTGTTTACTTTGTGTGTACTATTTTTCATTTGAACCATTGCATTTGTTTTCTGTTTTCAAAACCTAATGATTCGTGATTCTTTGATTTATCCTTATTTGTTCTTTGGGTTATTAGACTTTGTTTGAGGAGAAACAATTATTCAAGTTAGGGAGAGTTTGATAAGTGCAAAAGTGTAGTTATTTTGTATATACTTTTTGTTGCACTTATCGACTCTTTGTTGTTAATATCAGTTGAGTAACCCCACTTTTTGTTGTAAATACGTTTAATTGCATTTTGTATACATATTGTATCGTTTGATTAGTTTTGTATATGTTTTATAGGTATTTGAGCATTTGTGGAGCAAGAGGAATAAAGCTCCAAGATGCATTTTTGGATCAATAAATGAATAAGACAAAAGGTTGGAGCCATTGGAAGTTAAGCAGGAAAGCAACAAAAGTTGTTGGACTGTCATGGATCACCGGGCGAAAGTTACTATCTTCGGCCGAAATTTGTAGGCCAAATTTCCTTGTTTCTTCTGCCTAGCATCATCGAGTGATGTGTATCTGTCGTCGGGTGAGAGAAAGAAATTTTTCTACTTGCATGTATGGCACAACCTACACCAAGTGTATAGAAGCAATCATGGGGCGACGTGTTTGTGTTGTCGGGCGACGTTCGCGGATCAGAATTTTCTTTATATTTCCTTTTCATTTCATTTGGAGGGGCGGTTTTAGGTATTTTTTATCCTAATTGTTGCAAATGGTTTTAAATTCATAATTGAAACCCTTAATTTTTGTCTAATAGGAGGGAGTATAAAGGAATAACCCTAAAGTTCAAAGATTCTAGATTTTGACTTGGTTCTATACGAGGGAAAGGTGTTAGGAACCCCTTATCTACCTTGTTCGTGAGGATACTAGGTTTAGAAGTACATTTTTTAGGAAATAGGGTTTTATATAATTATTGGGGAAAAAGGGGTTTGAATTCTAGTTAACAGGACTCGACACGATTTTTGATCGTATGCCTACGTATCCTCTTAGGAGGAATCAGAGTCTCATTTCGTAGTTCGCAGTGTTTGGTTGGTGTTTTTGATAAGATTGAGTAGAATTTCTTTCGAATTTACTTTGAACCTTGTATGGGTTGTAAGTTGAGTAATTGTAAACACAGTTCGTAGTTATATTCGAAGACGATGCTATTTAATCTTTTTTTTTTAAATGATCTTGGATTCTGATTATGTTAGTTGAAAAATATTTTGATGTTGGTTAGATATTTTAAAATGTAGAGCGAGGGGAGTCTGATATAGTCTCCTCATTATGTGGTCAGATATTGGCCACGTGTTGCTCGTCATGAAGGATGCAGAGGAAGTCTGATATAGTCTTCCACATCACGTGGCCAGATATTGGCCACGTGTTGCTCGCTGATGAAATATTTAGAATTGCGTGTGTTTTAATATTTTGATATAAAATATTAAATTAATTATTTTTCTATAGCAAAAAGTTTGATACAAGTAAGTTAATCTAATTAATCTAACTTACCAAACAAATAAAATTATGCCTATCCTTTTTATATCTTAGACTTTTAATTAAAATAAAATAAACTAACTATTAAATTTAGTCAAAGTAAATAAACTAATAATTATACTAAAAAAGTTGGATTAATTGAACTTAAAGGGTGTGTAAAATAGGAAGTTGTTGATAGCATGGGTCTGAATTCAGATATTGAATTCAGGCCCAAAGGTAGGGAGAGGTTTAGTAATATATTTGTAAGATATTAAATTAATTAACATGAAAAATATATGATTACGCACAAACTAAACAGACTAATTAATCTGAGCAATAATAAAGACATGTCTTATATTCTAAAACTATGTAGAATTAATTTAATTAGAAATAAATTAAATTAACCTAACTTAAGGGTAAATTAGTAAGACAAAGGTGTTAAGTTATGATTTAAGATTAGTAAGAGTGACCCAAAATCCATTACACTAAAAAACTTGATATAATATCTGAATAAAAATTAACAGGACATTAATCATCACTCCAACACACCTAGGATAGTGCCTCTTTTCACTTCAGTATGAGAAATGAAAAGAGAAACAAAAGAATAAAGCCAAAAGAATTGACTTTTCCACCAATTTAATTATCCAACCTGAATTTGACAAGTGGCAAGAAGAAAATGCAAAAATGAAATTAGAGATAAACTGGATCAGTACATCAGAATGGATCCACCACCATCCCTCTTATTTCACTTTTTCTCGCGTTCTCTTTTCTTTCTTATAAAGAAAAAAACCCAACAACACTAACATCACCCTTTCTCCAATGATCTTGTTTCTTTCATTATTTTAGCAACAAAAAAAAACATATTGACGCCTCCTCAAACATGAATCATGAAAAGAGGAACCTGGGTGGTGGAGATCCAATGTGGATGTGCGGTGCACCGCTTCTTCGAGCTTCACCGGTGATCTGTCAAGGGTGGTGGCGGTCGTGTCGGACGCGGTTTGCAATTCGAAGGTTTTTTAACGACACCGCTAATGGCAGTCGGTGGTCTGCGGAGTTCTTACAGAGAAAGCTTTTTTCCTGATTTTTCACTTTCTTCGAACTGGTTTTTTTGTGATAAACTTTGATTCTTGTTCTTTGATCTATCCCGTATTTCTTTGTTGTTACATTTTGGTTAAGGTGCATCGCAGATCTGCAGAGTCAGATGTTTTTGTCGAAGATCAAGATGTGGAGGCATGTGAAGTAACTTTATGTTTATCGGTTCTACTTCTTTTTTATGCCTTTCTGCAAACACAAGAAGCAAAAGACAAACAATGATTGTAGTGTATATTGAATTTGATTTATATTTTGATGTTAATTAATTGTGATAATAATGAATTAGTAATAGGTTAATAAGTTAATGGCAGTTTGGGAGATTGTGATTGGATTTCTTTGTTAGTGTTTCTTCTTCTGTTGAACTTGCAGATTGTTAGAATAACATACAAGATATTTTGACATGTTGTATGTGGTTTGGAAATTTCTACCGTTGTGTTATGAGTGTAAATGTGTAATTGTGTTGTTACTGGATTTTAGTGGTGAAGGTAAATTGATGATTTTCGAGAGTGTGTTAGACAAAAGCTACATGTACAAATTTCTTTCATGTAATAAAATTATGGGCAAAGTGTATTCTAATTTCTATATAAAATATGTATAAAGTGTGTGATAAAATTAGAATGAGTAAACTTGTTAGCTGACAAAATATATACAAACTATGGAATGAGAATGTATGTATAACAGTGGGTTATATGTAAAAAAGCATCCAAACTATAATATAAAATAAAATCCTCAGTTTATACATTATGTGGTTACAAATTAAAACCAAAAAAACATGTATTGTGAAATTGTAAAAGTGTTTGTTCAATCATTTAATTGAAAAACAAACAACTTATAATTAGGGAGGGGGCCTCATATGAAATCATCGGCATAAAATAAATATCGAAGTTTTTAAGATAAAGAGTTTTGAAAAGAAATTGAAAAATTATGTGTAGTGATATTGTGAGAGGTTCTAGATGAATTGTGTATATTGTGGATCATCTAGAAGTGTGAAAAATATGTCCTATTTAGAGATAAAAAAAACCATTTAAATTAGAAATAAAACAAAATTGACCAATCAAAAACAAAGTGTGACACAAATTGACATCAAATGGCCAATAAGAAACACCTATTTAAAAATGAAATAAAATTAGTGACAAAAAAATAGAAAGATTAAAAAAATGTTGAAAGTGCGGCACAAGAGATTCGAACTCGTGACGTTACGCTTACAAGCTTCATTCTTCACGAATTGTGTTATGTTACTGATTTGTAAATAAACTCAATTTGAAATGATACAAAAGGTTTGCAAATATTTTTTTATTCAAAAATACAAATGATCTGAAATAAATCATTATATTCTTAAATAGGTTTGTAAGCGAATATTTATAAAAATTAAATAATATTATAAAAATATTGTTTAAAATTTTTTGACCGTAGAATTGAAAGGGTGGATAAATTTGGGGTATGACAGATGTCTCTATTTAATTAATTTTCGATTGAATAGTGTGAGAATATGCAGGCCTCACACGTTCTGATCGAATGTTTATTAAATATTGGAAGACCCCCAGAATTTTCCTGAAAGATCATAAGGATATGTTGTACAATGTTCCCATGAGTTTGAAGAATAAGCATAAATGATGATGTATCATTTTATCAGCGTTTGAACCAAATGTAAGGTTACTTAGATATGACGACATGGATAACCCGTCAGTATCTAAGAAGAGGTCGTTTGTATTCTTACCATAACCTAGGAGGTAAATGATACAAGTTTGAAAAGCTTACTTACTAATGCTTGGTGACTAATATAGAAAGTTTGGATCTAATTTATTTATGTATACTCATCGCAACCTAAGGGGTGAATAAAACAAAGTCTCATAACACATTGATGCAATGGATTAAGCAGATTTATTCGCATATCTATCACAACCTAGGGGTATTTAAAAAAGTAATTCTCTCACCTACCGTAACCTAGGTGGTAGATGATTGAAAATGCTTGATAACAAATCGCTGCATGGAGACTGGCGTAATCAGTTATATCGCATATTTTGTCTTGTTTACTGTAACACCCCTTCTAAATAACCCGCGAATATATTAATTAAATCAGAGTAACATGGAAAACAGGGATGTCACAATTCAGGATAAATATAAAAACCTCAAATCTACAATTGTCATGCTTTACTGAAGGAATTATTAAAATAAATATTCGAATCAACATCATGTTCTACACAGCGGAAATATCTCAAAACCGGAATAACTTCACTTCATAAGTATTCCCAACATAAATTAAACAATAGAGTATAAAATAAAACTCGTCATTTGAACGTTTCCCCCAGTGTTACAACCTATCAGAGCATGACACTGACACGCGGACTTAAAGTAACATAGCTCTAGAGCCATCCTCACCAACTCCTGAGCTGCTAACTTTAATCTGAAATTGTAAAGTAAGGGTGAGATTTCTCATAATTAACATGCATTATAAGCTTCTCAATCAACATTATATCACAAGCATGTTATTTCACCCATTTTAGCATAAATTCAGATTCAACACACAGTTCCAATCATACAAGTCATTATGCACAAATCAATAATCAACCAAAGAATTGTAACACTGGAAGAAATCCTAACATGTTACAACTCCATGCAAACACAAATGCAGACACAATGCATGTGGTACCAACACGTGACCAAGTCACCCAACACTGATCCATCATCAACCAGATACAGCAACCATTGATTCGTCCATAAACACCCGGACACGAATCCAGCCTAACCACCCATCATCACCCGGGTATCGGTTAACGGCAATACAAGTCAAATTCCACACAATGGGAATTAACTTCACCAAAACAATGCATATGCATGCACATCACCAGCATGCAACATCAACTCAGTCTATGAAATACATCAATTTATCATAACTGAACCAAAACCGAAAGAAACATGATATCATTATTTATCATACACACATCAAACAACATAAACATGCACTTCATCCACAAGGACCTGATACAATGAATTATCATGGATACCCTATTGCATATACACCAAATATGCACATAATAACAAACCGCATAATCAGAGAGTCAACATCAAATTAACGGAATATGATCACAACATAATTCCAAATAATGCCAAAACCAATATATCACATGATCACATCTCAATCATAACGGATAGCAGGCACAACATATAAGTATCAGTTCTCATTCACCAAATTAGAACAATTTACAAACAATTCTACATCATTCTCAAAATACCAAGTTTACAAAAATCGGGAATTCGACTCTTTTTAAAATAATTTTCATAAAATAATATTATTCTTATTTTATAAGATAGCATTTTAAATTTAAGAAATACTGCCGAAAACGGCACTCAAATCGGACTTACGGTTTGAAAGTTATGAATTTTCAAAGTTTAATATTTTTTCAAAAAGTTACGTTTCTGGAAAATGTACTGGAACCCGGTTCCTACCTATACAGGAACCGGTTCCTGCGTTGAAAAATGCCAGTTTTTGTAAGTTTATACAGTGGAACCAGGTTCCTCCCCACTGGGAACCGGTTCCTGCGACCTGAAAAGTCAAAAACTGCTATTTTGACAGCATTTATTCATTCCAATCCCATCCAATTCATACCCATACGAATCCAACTCACAGCAATGCCAAAACAAGTTATAGTGCATGATTCCAATGAGATTATAACACACCATAACATCATACAATTTCCTCATAACATCAAATTGAATCAAAACATAAAATTCATGGGATTGGGGTTTGAATTTCATAAATCCTAAATTGGGATTCCTAACATGCTTAATCAATTCTATTGATCCCAAAATCTATAAGGCATATTAAATAATAGAAATCACCCCTTACCTCGCGATGATCCTTCGAATTCACGGCGTTTGGCTTTTTCCTCTCTTCTCTTCTCTTCTCCAATTTCACGTACAATGGTTTTTCCAAATAACCTCCTTTTTCTTTTCCTTTTTATTCTTCTTTTTATATTCCTTTTATTATTTTCCAAATAATAGAAATAAATTAGTAATTATTTAGTAGAGCTTTTTACTTCACACACCTCTAATTCAACCTTACACCCCCCGGTCTTCCTTTTTAATTCCATAATTAATTCATCCATTTAATCCAAAATATTATTAATTAAGCCTTTAATTAATTTAATAATTAAATTCCTAATTATATAACACTTGAATTAATTTGGGGTGTCACAACTCTCCCCTACTAAAAGAGTTTTCGTCCTCGAAAACATACCTTAGACGAACAGTTCGGGATACGAGTCCTTCATCTGGCTCTCCAGCTCCCAAGTGACATTTCCATCTGCTGGTCCTCCCCAAGCCACTCTTACCAACGCGATCTCCTTTCCTCGCAACTATTTCAACTTTCGATCCTCAATTCTCGCAGGTACCGCTTCCACAGTCAAATTCTCTCGTACCTGTATATCGTCTACCCGAATCTCATGAGACGGATCAGCAATGTACTTCCTTAGCTGAGATACATGAAAAACATCATGCGAATTTGCAAGTGACGGCGGCAAAGCAATCTGATAAGTAACTTTCCCAACTCTCTTGGTAATCTGAAACGGACCAATAAAACATGGAGTCAACTTCTTTGACTTCAAAGCTCGACCAATACCAGTCATCGGAGTAATTCGCATAAAAACATGTTCTCCTTTGCTAAACTCAAGATCTTTCCTCCTCTTATCGTGATAACTTTTCTGAAGACTCTGAGAAGTCCTCATCTTCTCCTGAATCATCTTAATCTTTTCCGAAGTCTGTTGGACAATTTCCGGTCCAATCACAACACTCTCTCCAGATTCATACCAACACAACGGTGTCCGACACCTCCTACCATACAATGCCTCAAACGGAGCCATACCAATGCTCGAATGAAAACTATTGTTGTAGGTAAACTCAATCAATGGTAGATAACTATCCCAAGCTCCACCTTTCTCCAACACACAAGCTCTTAACAAATCTTCCAACGACTGAATCGTTCTCTCCGTCTGACCATCCATTTGTGGATGATAAGCGGAACTCAAACGCAACTTAGTACCCAAAGCTTCTTGCAATCCCGTCCAGAATTTAGATGTAAACCTCGGATCTCGATCCGACACAATACTAGAAGGAATACCGTGATAACTCACAATCTTCTCAACATACAATTCTGCCAACCTTTCCATCGGATAATCCATTCTTATCGGAATAAAGTGAGCAGATTTCGTCAACCGATCAACAAT